AAGGGGGGGGGGGGGATCAAAAGACCAAAAGAAGAAAAAGAAAGAGGAAAACAATGTTTCCTTATTTTTGCATCATTAACATCCTGCACAGCTCAGAACTTTCAAAATCCACCATTTCATATGGGGGGAAATCTAAACCCCCTAGATTTTACTCAACCGAAGTTAAAATAAAACCCTGAGAAGCATATCCAGCCCCAGAAAACGAGCATTTTAAACTTTTGTTTTCAACTTTTTTCAAAGTTAAGAAAGGTGGAGATGTGTGGCATTCGACGATCAACGAAACCTTACGTCTGTGAAAGTGCAGAGAAACGGCCGAGTAGCTCAAGAGACATCCCGACGGCAACGCAGACGCCACGGAAAAAGACAGCGGCGAGAGAGAAGTGGTGCGGTTAGCAGCGGTGCACGGCGTCGAAGTCCGGTTCGCTCTTATTCGGGTCACGATTCCGGTGGGTATCAATCCTAAAATAATTTCTCATTTTATTTTTTACCGTCTCTAATTCAATATTTTGATCATTAATATATTTATTTTTATATAAATATATATTATAATTATTTCAAAATTGTATTTCAAAATAAATTTATTGATAGCAAATTTATATAAAAATTAAATGTACTTTTTTCATAATATGCGATCAAAATTTTAAAAATTTGACTACAAAAATCAAACTGGAAAAATAATTACTACCTCCGTCCCTGAGTATTTGTCCATTTTTGACTTTTTTTCGGTCAACTTTTTTCAACCTTTGACCTACAATTAAATAAAATATATATTGTGTTTTAATTAAATAAAATAATATTTTGAAAATACTTGATATAATAAGTCTAATAAAACTCTTTTTGTATCAATATCTAATATCATTTTTATTTAATTTGAGTTCAAAGTTTACCAACTTTGACCAAAAAAATCAAAAGTGGACAAATACTCAGAGACGGGGGAAATATATGACAGATGGAGTGAATAAAAAGTTAAAAAGCACTAGTATGTAAAAACACTCACAACAAAGTCAAAATCAACTTGTGGGGGCAATTGAAGGAGTGTGGGGGTAGGAACTGTCAATTTTACGAACGGGACACCGGAGCGCACTCGGGTCATCCCATGACATTGGGTTCCAATGTCATGGGAACCCCATCCATTAAAAAAATGTAACATATAAACTTTCTTGTTCGCAAATGGGACATTTTTAAAAATACTGGATCGGTTATCAGAAATTACAAAGTATAAATAGAATTTGAAATTCCTAAATAAGGAATTAAAATCAATTTTAAAGCATAAATTATTACTCCCTTCGTTTCATATCTTTCTTCGCGTTGCACCGAACGAAATAAATCCAAATTTTTTCAATCTATTTTATTAAAGTGGCGATAAAAATATATTTTTTATCACATACGTCATGAAAAATGAAAACAAATAAAAGTTTTTATAAAGTTTGGAGTTGAATTGTGCTCTACAAAGAAAGATACGATAGAGAAAAATTTTAAAAAGTGAAATTTGCACTGAATGAGATTAAAACATACTCTCTCCGTTCCTGAGTATTTGTCCACTTTTGACTTTTTTGGTCAAAATTGGTAAACTTTGACCTCAAGTTAAATAAAAATGATATTAGATATTGATACAAAAATAATTTTATTAGATTTATTATATCAAACATTTTCAAAATATTATTTTATGTAATTAATAAACAATATACGGAGTATATATTATTTAATTACTCCCTCCGTCCCGGAGTATTCGTCCAGTCTTAACTTTTGGAATTGTTTATCTAAGCACTTTGACTCATCAAATTCTCTCAATGTGTAAGCCTAAATATAGTCATGTGTGATTTTGTTTGATTTGTCTTAACATATAGATTATTAATATATAATTTATATAATTTTTTAATATACAAATTACAAGATAAAATGGATTAAAGAAATGTATTGGATGATGTGTAAAACTGAAAGTGAACAAATACTCTGGGACGGAGTGAGTATAAGTTAAAGGTTAAAAACAGTTGACTGAAAAAATCAAAACTGAACAAATACTCAGGGACGGATGTAGTAAGTCATTTCCCAATGTTGGATTTATATACTTTTTTATTTTCTAAATAAGACTTAATAATGACTAGTGAACTGGACATTTAGTTGAATAATGATTAATATATAATGATCAATGGTTCTAGATTAGGAAATAAAAACATATGGTCATATATTGAGAAAGCTATTATATCTTAGTCTTATTTAGGTAAATTACCCGATTCGCAAATGTGATTATTTATTTACTGTTAATACACAACGTGCAAGATTGGGGTTCCGTTTACAAGTCCAAGCTTGATTCGAAATCACATTTGGTGAGAACATATGCAGTATGATTCTAAGTAGAAATGTAACAAACAAATGGTTGGACAATGAAATAATTTTCGTGTAGCGACAAACTCACGAACAAAGAAATAATCTATAAACTTATGCTTCACGCGACAGTGAAACACGAGGTATCTTCAAACATACGTAGCACCCAAATTGTCACAGTACAATATTCCGGATGAGATATGGGACACTCAGGGCTCATTTAATAAATAGTGCACCCGAAGTGTTTCATCCAAGACATGAGATGGTCCACGATTCTCGATCAATTTTAGTGGAGGAGCAAGATACGGGGCCTGTTTGGGAATAGTATAGAGATTAGCGTTTTGAATGAAATTTTAACGATGCTGTCGATGCAGATTACTTTGAAAACGCTAACGCTAAACGTTTCTCGTAGATAGTTTTTTCAAAACGCCAACACTAATTGAGTTTGAAATAATTAGGGTGATAATTAGGAACTAGGAAGATAAACAAGCTTCCCAGAACAGCCTATCCCTCTCCTTTTCACCAATCTTCTCTAAATTACAAACGCTGGCCTCTTCGATCTTAGCCGTCCGATCATTTCTCCCCCCTGCAGTTCTCAACGGCCAGATCTTGCTCTCCTGCCTCATCGCCACCTTCTTGCCCCTATCCGCCGTCGCTAACCACCGTTGATTTACTTCTTCCCCTTCATCGTCCTCCTCGTCGGGCGTGGAATAATAAATGTGACCATTTTCCTCGCACCATAAACGCCTCGAACACGCATCGTCGGCAAGCTCCGGAGGATAACCGTCTCCTTTCCGGTCGCCAGCGATGACGCTGCGGCGGCCGCTGTAAGACAGGGCGTCGTCGTTCCCCGCCGCTGAATCCTGGTTCAGAACGGACGATCGGGCCTCCGACGAGTCGCCAGTGGCCTCAAACAGAAAGTAACGGGACAGGTCGACGAGGGTACTGCTGTACCGGTCGTCGTTCATCATCTCCGGCTGCCGGTTTGTTTGAATCGGTAAAATTGGTTATTGCGCAGAGGCAGAGGCGCATCATTTTCGGCAGGCGGAGTATTTGAATTTATATTTCGCTTTCGAGTCGATCAAAAGATACTTTTTTTGTACATGAAATGATTTCTCATTTGAATTTTGAAAGCTATACCATTAGGATTGATTAGTGTTTTGATCTCTTTTTTGCCCAATAAAACTCTTTTACACTTACATAAACAACTCAATAATACTCCGTAATAGATGTGATATCAGAAACAAAAATGCTAAGAATACACTAAAAGTGTACCCAAATGTACAACTTCCCCTCCATTGCTACATATTTTAGCATGTAAAATGAAAAAGAAATAAATAAATAAAAATAAGTGGTAATGAAAAGGATCTAGACTTCTCATCACAAAAGCTAGACTTCTCTAGAATAGTTCATATATTTTTACATCTTTAAAATTTTTAGAAAGTTTTCACAAGCTTTCATAAGTTTTTAGAAGAATCTAGAGGATCCTACATAATTCTAGAATGTATACATCCTTTCACATAGTTCTAGAGATTTCTACACTCCTTTAGAAAGCTTTAGAATAATATAGAAATTTCTACACTCTTCTACACAATTTCTAAAAAATTTTGTACTTTTCTAAAAAATTCTACAACATTCTAGAAAATTACGTTATCAATCATGATTATTTACATTATTAAAAAGATGTAACATTCCGAAATAATGAATATTGGACATATGAACATTTGGACTAGATGTAACTATTTGATATATATATATAAACGAATTAAACGTAAGCGGTTACACCATACTTGAAATGTCAAAAGTTAAGGGCAAAAGTAAAAACTTATTCGATTTTTTCTTCCTTTTTTTTTTGAATGCCGATTTTTTCTTCCTTAAAAAAAGTAAAATTGGAAAACTTTAACAAAAGTGGGAGTAATCATATATTTACTGTTCCAAAAGAAATTCAATTTATATGACTAAAATTTTATTTAATTTATACCCCGTAGTTTATATATAATATGCTCCGTATATGGCTCCGAATTTCCAAAGATTTTACAAACTTTTTCACGTATTTTTGCAAGCATCTTAAACATTTGTTAACAAAGTAGATGCGGAGTTGTGAATTAGGATTAGTGCAAAATCTAAAGTTATCATCAAAAAGATATTTTGATGCATTTACATTAATATGGAGTAATTAATTGATTGATATCTATTGGTGGGACAAGCACCGGCTCAAAGGTGGGCCAAAGTGCCCTACAGACCAGGTCCATATTTTTCTCGGGTCCAACATTTTTATTTCTTTAATATGTGTATATAATAAAAAATTTAAAAGCATAATTTTTTAAGGCAGCTACAGTATTACGATATTTCATTATAGTACTGCAATTTTGTTATGTGTATTATTATATTATTAATTATTTTAAAAATAAAATTTATATACTTTAATTTATTAGGATCAAGGTCCATTTTTTCAACTTGTCCAGGGCTATCAAATGTTCGAAACTAGCCCTGTGTTTGACCGTGGGAGAAACTAAAAATGTATGATATGATATTAAATTATTAATTGTGTTAACTGCAAAGGTATTGTAAAGAAGCATATGTTGAAAAGGAAGTGACGCGCGCCTATTATTAATAAACTCTCGGAAATGAGGGTGAAATGGTTTGAAAACATGGAGTTAGAGAAGAGCATAAAGACTTGGACCGAAAAGATTGATCGAGACCGATTAGGATTTAGACTTGAAAGATTGGGACCGAAGTAGTCTTTGAGACTAGTCTAGTCCAAGACCAGTAGTTTCAAATGTTCCTTAATATTTATAGAGGACTAGAACTAGTCTAAGACTAGTAAAAAACATGATAAAGACCTGAACCGGTCCGAGACTAGTAAAAGATTGGTCTAAAGACTAAGACTAGTCCAAAAAACTAGTCCTCTAGAGTCTAATTATAGAGTAGTATATATGGAGTAGTACGTATAAAAATGTTAAAAAATAATATAGAGTAATACAAATTAGAAATGATTAATACTTCTCGGCTTCCTCTATCCCCCAAGTATTTTCTTAGAGTTTTAAGATAAACTCAAGCGTCACAACACTCTGTCCTAGAGCAGTACGTAGAGCTAGTCCTCAGAGATGTCCTCAGAGAATCACTGATTGAGCGAGCGAAGTGCAACATGCAATCTCGACCGATGCAAAAAGAATTGATGGACTATTTGGTAACCCTGACACAACATCGCAAAACTACAATCTTGACCCAATATGTTGGGACTAGAGACCGGACCGGATTGGACTACCGACTGGACTAGTGGTCTTATTTGGTCTTTGATTTTGATAAGAAGACCGGACTAGTTAGGACCGGGTTTTTAAAAAAACTAGTCTGGTCCAGTCTTTTACTGTAGCAGTCTTTTCCAAAGACCGGTCTAGGCTGACCGCATCGGTCCTTTTGCTCATCTCTACATGGAGTGATGTAGCGTTGAGGTCCCGGTGCAGAGATACGAACGACTTATGATAGCGGGGAAAGATGGAAGAAGGGATAGACATAGGAATTGGAAGGAGATGATTAGACAATATTTAAAACTTATAGTTTTTGTCGAGAATATGACCTTAATTAATTATATAGGAACGTCTAAAAATTTAAGACTACAGTAGCTTCTAGTTGTGTAGTCGGATTAGTCGTTCAGTTGGTGAAAGTTTTTGCTCTTGTCATGTGCGCGCTTTCTATTTTTAAAGCGTAGTGGCTAGTAGCGGTTTATGTACTTGTTATATCTTTGTGCTTTTCTTTACTTTCATTTGTTCTTTGTTTTTGGGTCGCGCTATACATACTCTCTATGCTTTTTGAATTGGTGATCTCTTGGAAATAAATTTTCTATTTTCAAGCATAGACAAAGTCCACATTCACATGTACATTCTTTCTAGACGACTATTTCTGTGATTGTATTAAGATAATTTTCCTTTGAGTGTTGCTAAATCCACCCCAAAATGGCTATATATATCTACCTCTTTTACATAAATTTGCTAAATCCACACCAATATCAACTTTATATTAATGAGTGTTGATTTAGCAAATATAGTTAAAAGGTGTGGACATACCCATTTTGAGGGTCTATATGGTTATGGCTAAAGGTAATGGTAATGTAATGATTGATTACTTCTAGCTTTTCTCAAAGACATAATTTGTGTAAGAGCAATGCTAGGGGTACACTAAAAGGTGTATCTCAAATGTACACCACCCATTCTTCACCACACATTTTTATTTGATTTTTATTTACTTATTTTTTTTAAATTTTTTTGCCTTTTTTAGTGGACAAGGAGGGGATGGGGGACATATGGGGTACACCTTTGGTGTACCCCTAGCATTTTTCTTTGTGTAATAATAATTTTGAAATGTACGTAGTCCATACAAACTTATTCTATTAATTTAAACCATACCTTAAATATTCTGTTACTAGGATGATGAAGTAGGATGTTTTAATTATTTAGCATTATTATTATTAATACTAATACTATTGCAATTTAGATTTTATTATGTTGCCATACCAAATTATTAGCTCATTTGAATCTTTTTTTAAGATTCTTTTTCTTGTCACTCTTCTTGAACCGTCAGGTTAGTTCTAAAATTTTCTTCTTCCCTATATAAGGAGATGTAGAGTGGTAATCCTGTGCACCCAATTAAAATCCACATATTAAATCATAAAGGAGATGTGGCCACTAAGATTCTGTGCACCCTAGATTTTATTAGTTATATTTTTTTGCAAATTTAATTGCATCCATTGCCCTTAAATATTTCCACTTTTTTTGAGTTATTATAAGATTTATTTTCCACTTCCGTCTAAAAAAAATTTTCCACTTTTTTCTTTCTTTTTTTTCCCATCATTTGTGACACAAATGACATGTTTCATTAAGGATGCTGTCCGCCCACCCCTGTCTTCTAGAAGATGGAGGGATAGTGGACCCACATACACCTATGAAGTTTATTTTGACTATTTTTATTAATGTTAAAGGGGAATATGTTTTGATTTTTATTTAAAAAATTCTATCACATTTAATTTATTTCGAATAACATACAAAATCCTATCACATTTAAAGCCATATTATTTACAATTTTGTATAATAATAAAAACTATATATTACACTGTTTAAAAATATATAAAAAATTTTATAAAACAAGAAGTGATAAAAATATTTTATTTTACCAAATTATCAATTAAAATATGTACAAACAAAAGTTAACGAAAGGCCAGAATAGCAACAATGGTATTTATTTTTGGACGGATGAAGTATTACCTTACTACCATCCTCCCAAGATTTAATATCTTGTTATTATTCTGGTACTTTCATACTTTTGTTTATGTACGTTTTTAATAGGTATTCCATGCTTAATAAAATCTATAAAAAAATTCACTTCGAATTTTGTAAAATTTTGTATGTATTTTTTAAAAATATTAGTTATATTTTTCATTTCTGAATTAAATTTTTAAATAAATTTAAAATAATTTTCTTATGGGCAACTAATATTCATCAACTTCTTGGTATGTCTAAGGGAGTAAGGGGTGAAAATCAGTCCAAAACCAGACCGGAATAAAAAAACCGGAAAGTCAAAATCGGGTGAAGGGAATCTGGACTTGAAAGGTTCTGCTCCGGACAAAATCGATCTGGTTTGATTTTTTTCCTGGAAAAACATGCATTTTTTATTTTTTTTCACGAATGATTTCAACTTATTTTTTGATGACCTAGCAGCTCGATTCAACCTTACTTTTAATTATTTCTAGTAATTGATCGGGTTTAAAGGAATAACATCAACATACAAATATTTCATATGATACATTTAAAATAAATGTTATAGCTTCTTTAGTTCGATATATTGTCATTTTTCAAAAAGTGTTACTTTAATACATTTCTATCTTACAAAAAATAGTCTAAATTAAAACATCCTCGTATAGTAACATCAGAATTGCAATCAAATGCACCCAAAAAGAAGGTGGAGAGTATTAATTATTCTCTCCAAACATTCTAAGCCAAAGTCTACATCATCAATACGCAAATTCGAGTTCGAATTAGTTTAC